TGAGAGGATTCACCAGACACACAGTGGGGAGCAGAACAGGCAGATCCACTGAGACCCACTGCTGAGGGGTAGGGGGAGATGGAAGAGTCTGCTGTGCCTGGGGTCAGGCATCTGGCACACCAGGAGAGAGCTTGACAGCTGAGACTTTAACCCCTGCACCTCCAGGGAGGCCTGGTCTCAGTCTGTCGGTAACAAGAATCTCTTCTTTCAATGCCAGAGGGATTTCTCTGGCTAAAAACCACATTAGTACAGGCCCAAGAGGTGGTACGGTCCTTTAGAGGCACTTAATTAAGAGACGGAAATCCCCCATGTACTTATCAATTATACCAGAAAGAGCACAACTGTTCAGATTGTAAAAATAATTTCTCACAAAGCTCTGTCCTCACGGATTTCATGGTGATTTTTCCCTGACTGACCACTGCTGGGTCGACTCTCCATTACGATCAGCCGTTCCCGGGCATCTGGGATAAGCTGGGGCTGCCTACCAACTGAAGCAGAGGCAGGGACTCACACCCAGCCTAGGTCCCCAGGGTGCAGGTGAGGCACCCCACACAGGGAGCCGTGCCCTGGGCGCGCAACAAGGCGGCCGCGTAGGGACGTCGGCGCAGCCCGTCCTGGGGCCCGGGGGGCGGACGGGGGACGGACAGACATGGGCTCATGAATCAAAGTGGCCTTGTGAGCATGACCGGCCTGCTTTTCACAAGAGCTTGAGGGCGAGGCTGGACTTATTTCCAAATTTAAAGTAATTAACATCAACGACTTTGGAGGCCTCCACATACAGTGAGACAGGAATGGGGCCTGCGGGGGGGAGGGGCAAGAAAACCGTCCCAGGGTCCTCCATGGGGCACAGGGGTTAAGGCGCAGCACTGGGAAGCTGCCCTGGCCACCACAGTGTGAGCTTGACCCGGCCAGGGAGGGCCCCGGGGCACGGCAGACCCCTCCTGTCGCCCTGCTCCCCTCAGTGGTGTGTTTCAGGGGACCCATCTGTTCTGCTCCCCATTCTGTCTCTGGGGAGTCCTCTCATACACACCCTGCCCCCCGCACCTCTGGCAAAGCCACACCTTGTAGGTCACAGGCATCTCCTGGTGGGGGGCAGTTGCAGGTTGACCCCCAAGCCTGTGAGACCCGAAGACAAAGCGTGGGGCCGCCCTGGAGTCACACGACTGAGCGAAAAACTTTCTTCTTCTTCTTTTAAGATTCGCTTATTTATGCATACAGAACTGGGGTGCAGGGCAGAGGTGCAGGGGGTGAGTGGCAGAGACAGAATGGGGAGCGGGACAGGGGAGCCACTGAGACAGTCTGCCGAGGGAGCAGTGGGCGGTCGGCAGCGGTCAGCCGCGCCCTGTGGGTCACTCCGGGGCGGGGCTGCCCTCACTTCACTTCTTCCTAAGCCGACTCTACGATTTCACTCAAGCACATTGGCGCAGGGCGCTCACCTTGCTTGCTCTGAAGGTCCTTCAGCCGGGCGCAGAGCTCCTCCACCAGGGTCTCGATGCCGGAGCTCTGCGCGACAACAAACACACGCTCGTCACCGCCGGCTGTGGCCGTCAGGCGCGGGCACACCTCCGTTTCATTTGAAACGTTTTAAAACTTCCCATGTTCCAAAAGAAGTAAATCTCCAGTGTTTACAGACAGAAGAGTGAGACACCGCAGGCCGCAGCGCAGCTC